AGAACAGTTGTAACATAGTGAAATGAAAGCTGACATTGGAGCCAGAGGATTTACTCTGTGTGCCTTTGGGCAAGCCTTTTCATCTATTTTGGTAGGAGTTTACTCATTTGGAAAATGAGGTGGTTGGACATAATGTTTTCTTTGCTCCCTTCCAACTCTGAAAGTATCATCTTATGTTTAGTCTTTATGCTTGGGACATAATTTAGTATTAAACAGATACCAGTTCACATAGCCCACTTTTTTTTTTAGATTTGAATAAATTAGTTATACCTGAATCTTTATCAGCATCTCATAATAATTCTACCACCTGGGATTAATTGCTCAATTAATTTATTTATTCAACAAATACCCATTAAGTACCTATTACATACAAGGCACAGTTCTAGGAAACGTGGATATGAAGGTTTTAAAAAAAATGACATCATGTGTGGCTTTATAAACCTCATAAAATGTACACAGAAGTATGTTACAATTTTGAGTGTGTTGCAAGCATTTGATCTGTACCCAAACAAATAATAAACCAAAAGTCTAAAATGGCTCTTAGATCTCATCCATGCGGACCTTACTTCCAATGAGGCAGATTATGACCTATGTGCCAGTCTTTCCTATACAAATGTCCCACCTAAACACCCAGAGGCCTCTTCCGCAGTATTTCTCCAACACCTCGTCACTGTTTAGGTGTAAGCCTGGGTTCTCGAGTTCTACACCAGAAGAGCCTAAGATCTGACAATTTTCACTATGTTTAAAAAGCTCTGAGCACTCAGTTAATTTAGACAAGCACCTGTTGTTGTTGCTACTGATTGAATAATTAGATAAATTATTAATGTATTAATTATAGTAATAAGAGCTTGCACCTACATAGCACTCTAAGGTTTGCAAAGAGCTTTACATCTAATAACTCATTTACTCTTTGCAACTACCCTGTGAGATAGGTGCTATTATTACCCTCGTCGTAGAGATGAAAAAAGTGAGGCTAAAAGAACTTAAATGTCTTACCTAGAATTATGGTGCTTGTGATTGATTGAACCAGGTCTTCCTGACCCTGGTTCCCACAATGAATTCACTACATCACCTAGTGGACCCTGGAATATTGGGCTTTTTTAGGTGTGCTTTCACCTTATCTTTATCAGAGAAAGGCTTCTATTCTACTTCCCAACTCTCTCTACATCATGATGCCTCCAGTCCAGACATCATCTCCAACTTTCCCTCCACCAGAACTTTGAGTCCAAAGTTCTCCATCCCTAGGAAGCTGGGCTCCAACAGATTAGATTTCACCTCATCTGGTTTGGATCCAGGCCTGCATGCAACTTTCTGACTATGTCCCCTTCAGTTTCCCTTTATTCATTGTCTTTTTTGTTAACATGTAAAATCATTGTGCACTATGTTATTTATTTGTATTCATATCATTTTGCCCAGCAAAATCCTTGGCATTCAATAAACACATAAAAATGCTCTGAGAAGTAAATAAAAAATGTCTGGGGGAGATTAGGAAGAATATTAACAAATAGGAGGATTTAAAATGGTCTTCTGTAGTAGGTAACACCTCGTACTTAGCTAAACATGAAGGAATCTGAGGAATGTAAGAGGTGAAGATTAGAAGGAAGAGTATTCAATGTATGAGGGACAGTCAGGGCAAAGTAAAAGATGTGGAAGATGAAATGTCATGGAAGGCTAAAAGTTTGACTAGAATGTACAGAGCTTGAGGAAAAGAAGTATCTACTTTACAGGGACCAGTATAGCTAAGGATGGAGAGAAGAAAAAAAACAAATATATATATATATATATATATATATATATATATATATATATATATATATATATATATATATATATATATACATATATATATATATCTATATACATAGATATATATATATGTATATAGATAGATAGATAGATAGATAGATAGAGACTGTTGATATAGTTGATTTATTGATTGATATATTTCATTACCAATTTCTTTTAAATGGATTGACACCTGACATACAAAGAAGACATGCATGGTCTGGTAGTGGGGAGAGGAGGGTTGGTGGGTTTGAGCAGGTACAAATACTGAGGAAGATTTGCACAAATGAAGTAGCCTAAATGATATCTTCAGAGAGATTCATGACTAGGATTGGGTATGTGTAGGGGGGAATCAAGGGGACAATGACTTTAGTCACATTTGTGTGCAAAAAATTTCTACTATATAGCCAGTATGTTCTATTTCTATCCATGCAATTTCAAGACAAATAACAGAAGGTCCTTGACACGTTGGAGGGATCCCCTATGAAAGATTTATGGAAGGACATGTGCAAGAGTTATACATGAGGGAAGGGCATGGATAGATTTTTTTTTCTCAGCATCATTGGAGGAAACAAATCAAATCATGGGCATAAGATCATAGGGTCATTTATTTACAGCTCAGAAGAACCTTAGAGGTTATCTAAACCAACCCTCTCATTTTACATATGAGGAAACTGAGGCACTGGATAATTTGCTCAAGATCATATTCATTAAATTATTTAAATATTCTTTATTAATACAGAATGTTTCTTACTCTTTATTTTTTCTTGCCCCTTTCAATCACTGAGAACCTTAAATAATAGATCATTGAACCAAGTCTAATAAATCATAGAAATGGACACTTTAAGGTCTGTACTGGAAAAAAAATCTATTTAATTGGGGGGGATAGGGTAAGGAGATGTATTTTGTCAAAACCCAATTCAGCCATCCCTGTGGAAAATGAAGACAGTTGGGATTAGATAGTATGCACTTATCCAATTTCTGCCTCACTGTGTCTTTTTTTTTAACTTGAATTAATCTGGGTAATGAACACCCAAACCAAATTATTGTGGGTTGATTACCCATGAAAAGTGGGTTAATTGTTTAATAGCCATGGGTACAAGTGGGTATAGGTATTTTACTGTACATAAACATTGAGTTGGCATATTCTGCGGCAGTATAAATACATATACAATCAAAACAACTGTACAGTTTCACATTAAAAGTTGATTAATCTTCTTGTTAGTGTAATTTAATTGTCTGTGAAATTGGCTGCTAAATACTAGAAAAATGGTCATCTATTATAATTGTCTTCTTTAGAATGCAGGAATGAATGAATTTCCTCTGAGTGTTAAGCAAATAAATCGTAATTTTGAGAAAATATTAGAAGAAAGGAGCTATTTAATGCCACTTACAATCAAAGGCACATGTAACAAATGGTCTTTTCCATTATCAGCTCAGCTAATTATGAGACAGGAGGAGAGTTGTATCCTGCCATCCACATTCCTATGTGGTTTAAAGGAAAGTCACATAAAAGAATTCTTTCTCTACAAAGGTGGGTTGTAATTGAGCAATGCTGGCCAGCATCTACATCCTCAAGGCAAGAAAAATGGGCCTGATCAAGAAACACCAACTGTAGCCATGTTCTCTAATTTACTTTCTAAAGGCATTAAGTGGGAGCCCTGATTAGAAAACAGCTGCTGGGGCCATTATCTCTCTTTCACTTTCAATAAAGGTGCACTGGCCTCAAATGAAAAATGCCAGCCTTCAGCCCTCCTTTCATGGCAGAAGCAATGGACCCCCAATTAAAAAATCCACTCTATGGATCCATTACATTATGTTTCTTTTTGGGAAGAACCATGGGACACTAGGGAATGGCAAAATAAAGTAAAGTTAAATAACTTTAAAAAAAAACCATAGAATTTAGAAAGGGTTAGAGAATGCTGCATCAGCAGGGGAGCCACAAATGTGGCCAAAGGGTTATTATAAAGTTCACAGAGTCAGCAATGAGGCCAACCAGAAGGCTTTACTAGGTCATCAAATCATCACAACTTTATATCTTTTTCTTTCTCTTTTTATTAGCACTAATTCCTTTTTTCATCCCTCCATTTTCATAGAGAACTCTGAGGCAGGACAAATTCAGAGCACTGGAAAGAACACTGGGTTTGGGTCCCAGCTGTTTCAAAATGAATTAGTCAGTTATTGTCCCTCCCCATCCTCCCCACCCCAGTAGGCCTCTGTTTCCTTGTCTGTATAATGACTAAGTTGGAGTAAGTTACATTAAGATCCCTTCTAGTCCTGGATGTCCAGGTGAAAAGAATGAAACAGCCTCTACTTATAAGTAGCTTATCTTTTAATGGAGATGATCCTTTCTGGTCCTGGGCATACAAGTGAAAAGAATGAAACCATGACTACTCATAAGTATCTTACCTTCCAATGGAGATGATAATAAGTATATATATAAATATAGACAACATGAAGATAAAGTCAATAAATTCAAATGTATACAAAATAGAATGCAAGGTAGTTTGGGGAAAGGCACTAACTGGGAGGATCAGGAAGGGCTGCTTGCAGAAAGGGCATCTCAAAGAAAGAGGACTGACTCTAAGGCAAACATGAGGAAGAAGCACATTCCAGATATATGGGATGTTTTGAAAGTAATAAGCTGCCTTAACACTTAGAAAGTATGTTATATGCATAATCTTGGTTGAAATTTATGTGAATAACTGGGAGAAAAAAAGAATCTCCCTTTTCTTTCTCTCCCATTTACTTTTACAATGAAATGCTAGCATTTATGGAGGAGAAATGTCAACCCAGTGCTCAGCATGCCTGCCCATTGGCTTCTGTAATAGCAGAGTCAAAAAAAAAAATGCACGTATTCAGAAGCAATTACATGTGCTTGACCTGGTGTTAGGAAGACCTGAGTCCAAATCCAATCCTAGACTCTCGCTAGCTGTAAGACTTTGAGCAAGTCACTAAAACAACTCTCTGCTTCAGTTTTCTCATCTGTTAAATGGGTTAATAATAACACTTACCTCCCAGGGTTGTTGTAAGAGGCAAATGAAATATTATTTGTAAAGCACTTTGCAAACCTTAAAGTGCTATAGAAATGCTATTTATTATCATTATTATGCAAATTATTAACAAAGAGAAGACTGACCTTTCTTGTTCACTTGTCCCCTATTCTTTTCCTATCTTCAAAGAGTCACAAAGACTAAAATTCTATCTCTCCACAGTAGACTCTCTCCAGTCATGGACATTTGAGCCTAAGGCATCAGTGGGACCTGAATACAGCATGCAAGACATTGCCACCTCCTCAATACATATGGTAAAGGAGTCCATAGTTGGATACATCTTTCTGGGCATCTTCAGGGAAGCAAGAACAAGTTTAGGCTTTGGTCACTGGCCACTGGGTTTCAAAACAAAAACAAAAACAAAAACAGCTCCCTTCCAAAGAGCCAGAGTTCTAGTAGGATGAAAGAAAAGGATGCTCCCAGGAGAGCAGCGGTTAATTGTCACCTAAAACAAAACAGGGAAAACAAGCCTTCATTATAAACCAAGAAGGAGCTTTGCATGTATTCATTCCATCTCTTCCCAGAGGCCTCCAGCACTTTCACAAGGGGGCCAAGCTGCTTAGCTCGGCCCTGCTCAGGGCACCTGCTGAAGACACTTCTACATGACAAGATATATTCCCTGATGCATGTATTAATTTTGATGCTAGCCTAGAGCCAAAGCTTCTCATTCACTGTCAACCAGAGTGGTTAATTATGTGCTGTAATATTTAAATTACAATTCTGATTATTTTTGAAAGATAATTAGACTAAGAAAAAAAAAGAAGAGAAAACAGAGTTGCTCTGAAGGGTGTTCCACCAGTCCTGGTTACAGCAGGAAGACAATGAGTTCTCCCACAAGTGAGGATCTCTGGCTGTGCTGAGGCACCACGGGGACCCACAAGGAGTCCTTTGATGCTATATATTCATTTTAATTAAGGAGGGGCCATCTGGTTCAGGATTGAGGGGGGAAAACACACACACATGCAGACACACACACACACACACACACACACACAAAACCTCTGCATGAATTATAAAACCAGCTAAGCCATTTATTGTAAAACTCTCAGATTCATGATGTACGTTTGAAGAAACTTCGCTTGTTCCATTTTCTGCATCTCAGTCATTCAACATTGATACTTGCTACAGCATCAGCAGAGAATTGTCCAATTCCTAAATGACCCTTTGAACCCTCCTCTTCTTGTTGAAAACTCCATTCTTAGATGGTTGGCCATTTCTCTTGCTCCATTGTACCTTCACCCGTTCCCTGGAAGCGGATTTCAGTATCTTTCTGGAATTTTTACCTTGTTTGGGTTTTCCAGTAGCAGAATTGCTCATTTCACTATCTTTATAGGTCCTAGGAGGAGAAGGGTGGGTACCAAAGGATTACATATTCAATTAAAATAAATTCCAGTTGAATTTGTTTCTCTCAATAATCAAAAGATATCTCTGCAATGAAATAATGCATTATTTTAAAAGGTGTTTCTAGTAAAACTGCCTCCAAACACATTGTTTCTGGTTGCTCAGATCACACACATGGATGACAATATAATAATAATGATAATAAGATCATGCCTATACTGTTTTAATGTTTGCAGAGTATTTATATGTGTTATGTCATTTGATCTCAGTTGTTCCAAGAGCTCTGAACAATTCTCCAATTTGGTTAGCTTGTTATCAGGCAGTTAGTTGATAGGGCCAGCAAGATCTAAATTCAAATATCAGTTCAGATAATTACCAGCTCTTTGACCCCAGGCAAGTCCATGAACTTGTCTCAGGATCAGTTTCCCAGCTGTAAAATGGAGAAATAGAATCTAACAGGGTTGTTGTGAGGCTAAAATGAGATATATGTAAAGTAGTTTGAAAAATTTAAAGTCCATATAAATGCCAGCTCTTAAGATTATTTCACTTCATCTTATTCTGTTACATGGAAATAAAGGTTAGCAAACATTATTAGGGGTTCATTCAAACTCTCATTAGTCCCAATAGTGTTACAAATAAGGTAGTTTTCCCTGAAGCAAAGAGCAAAGAGGCAGAATAACTGTCATTAACCAAACTCCTTAGCTATTTGTCAATGAATTAAGTAAGATTTTGCATCCTGTAATTTATACTGGGGGAGAAATTCATCTCTAGTATTTGGCCATCTTTTCTGGGAGCTCAGACTTGGTGGTAGTCAATCCTAAAATTTGTTCATGTCCTCATTAAATCAATTGCTATTTATATAAATATGGAATGCTACCCATGTAAAACAGGAGTACCATTCATATAAAACAGGAAGCAATATGCTTAGCAAAGTATCTGCCATGGTAATAAAGGGGGACCAGTGAAGAATCAAAATAGAAGAGGGACTGCTTATAGATGGAGATATCCTCTATTTTTTCTTCTTTACAAATGATACTGTTCTGATTGCATCAAGTCCAGAAGTATTGTACAACCTCCTAAATAAGACCCATAATCACTCAACAAACTTTGACCTGATTTTGCACAGAGGAAAACTATCAATAGATGAAAAAGTATTCATTTGGATGGATAGTTAATAGATTTTTGTCCATGAAAACATATAACTTGTACAAAGATAGCAGATGGACATTTAACTGGGTCACTCACCTCTGGGCTCTGTCCCAAGAATCTTTCTTTTTTTCTTTACCTGCTATATGTTATTACCCTGAGGAAACTGACTTGTGACTTCCTCCTCAGGACCACCATTTTCAGAAAGACTCTATCCTTGGTGCCCCTTGAAGACATTATAACTCTTTCTCCAGAATCCTTCCTTTTCCCCTACCACACCTTTTAACTCTTCTGTATGTGTTTTCTTCTCATAGTAGAACGTAAGCTTGAGGATAATCTTGTTTACTTGCAATTGCATGCTCAGCACTCAAGACAGTGTCTAGCACATCTTAAGTGTTCAAAAAATACTCTATCTAGGGGCAGCTAGGTGGCACAGTGGATAGAGCACTAGCCCTGGATTCAGGAGGAGCTGAGTTCAAATCCAGCCTCACACACATAACACTTACTAGCTGTGTGACCCTGGGCAAGTCCCATAACCCCATTGCCTAGCCAAAAAAAAAAAAAAGAAGAAGAAATGCTCTAATATTGAAAAGGAAAAAAAAAAAGAATGGCTTTCAATTGTTTGACATTGCAATTCAGAAAGTATGCAATTTTTAATAAGTCCAATCTTCTCTTTACAAAAAAGATTCATCTTTCAACAGCAATATTGTTCCAATGATGCTGTATTTCTTTGAAGTATGGAATAGTACAGTGTCTAAAAACTTTAAATGGAGGTCACCAAAACAGCAATAGGGAGTCAGCTGAAGCATATTGCCAAGGGATAATAGCACAGGAGAAACAGAATAAAATATATTTTCAAAGAAATGTATGAACAGAAAAGGATGAAGATCATTCATGTATTGAGAGTTGGATAAGCATATGTGTCTCATTGGTATTTACACAGTGTCAAATGATCTAATAACATATCTTCCATAACTTGGGTGGATCTCCTAGGGGATCCTTCATGGGAACAAATGAGCAAAAGTGGTACAGGATAGAAAGGCATGAATAAGTTGTGACCTGCACCAGCAGAAGGAATTTTCACATTAATAATAATAAGCACGCATTGAAATACCTAAGTATTTATAGATATATATTATATTACATTATATTGTGCTCTTTTATGTTACATTAACATTGCACTATTAGGTTATATTATGTCATATGACTTTATGCTATGCTATATACATATAATATGCATACCATACACATATGCATAATAAGGAAATGAGTTTTTGATCCTTAATCCCCAAAAAGGAAAACAAAATGGTAGGAAAACAAGCCCTTTTGGAATCATATATTTGGAATAGAAAGAGATCTTGGAGGTAATCTAGTCCAAAATTGTTCTTTGACAGTTCAGGAAATTGAGACCCAGGAAAATGGTGGCTTTCCTATTTGTTTAATTAATTCATTAAAAAAAAAACTCTAGATCTCTCTAAAATAATATTTTGAAATATAGCGATACCTTTAATGGCTAAATAGAATCATTCCTAAATCAATACTAATTTAAATAGAAAGGCACATGACTAAATAGTTGTATATAATCTTTAAATTTGATTAATTATAATTAAGTCCAAGAATAAATTTTTAAGCTCCTAGAGAAGATCCTATCTAACTGATCATGGGTAACATCTTGGCCTAATGAGCTCTTTAAGTATGTTTGACTGAAAAATGTCGGCGTTCACAGGCGGAGCTCACTGCATCATTTGGCTGTAGCCTGGGAAAGATAATAAGCAAGTAAGTCAGCAGGGGAAAACACCCTCCTAATGAGCTTCTCCAGACTTATATATGCAATGACTCCAAACACAAACTTTCAATACCTAAAATATAAAATTTTGAAATTGAAATGTTTGCAAAGTAATAGTAAAGTATGTAACAAGTTGGGACTATTCCCCACTGTTGTATTACCTCAAGAAAATCTCTTAAATTGTTGTGGAATACTGCATGTATTAGATTTTTTAATATGTTTAGTTTTGTTGAATGGGCAGCTAGGTGGTGCCTAGCTAAGTGTGCCAAGCCTGGAGTCAAGAAAACCTGACTTCAAAATCCAGCTTCAGACAATTACCAGCTGTGTGACCCTAGGCAAGTCACTTAGCCCTGTTTGCCTCAGTTTCTTCATATGCAAAATAAGCTGGAGAAGAAAATGGCAAACTAATCCAGTATTTTTGCCAAGAAAACCCCAAATGGTGTCACAGTCAGATATAATTGAAAACAACTGAACAACAAAAAGTTCTGTTGACTTTTTATTTCATCTTTTTAAAAAAATATACTTATTTTCCCCAATTACACGTAAAAATAATTTTAACATTCTTTTTTTTTAATTCCGAGTTCCAAATTCTTTATCTTCCTCCCTTCCCCACCTCTCATTGAGAAAGCAAATTTATATAGTTTATATATGTGTAGTCATGTAAAACATGTAAAACAATATTAGCCATGTTGTGAAAGAAAACAGACCAAAAAAAAAAAAAGAAAGTTTAGAAAGTATTCTTCAATCTGCATTCAACCTCCATCAGTTCTTTTTATGGAAATGGATACCATTTTTCATCCTAACTTCGTTGAAATTGTCTCTGATCATTGCATTGTTGAGATTAGCGAAGTCATTCACAGCTGATCATTTTACAATATTGCTGTTACTGTGTACACTGTTCTCTCCTGCTTCTACTCATTTCACTTTGCATAAGTTCATGTGGATCTTTCCAGATATTTTCTGAGAGCATCTTGCTCATTA